CCAAGGCGTAGCATATATCATTTTGACAAGAAAAGTTCATTCATTTTGTAGCAAAGGCTTGGAGTCCGAATATGGAATTCACTTAGAGAAGAATCTTACACATAAACAATCTGGCGGTTTAAAATTGCCATAGCGTTTGGACTTCAGATATCGTGGAGTGCCTAAGGGGCTTAGCAAAATCGGAGCAGTCTGATTGGGAAGCCAGCTTATGCTGCGGAATCCAGAACCATTGAGACAAAAGATGAGGCTCAACTTGGCTAGACTACTGATTGAAGTAGCATATTCGATACTAAATCCATATTCCGGAGAAGGTGTTTTTAGGAATGAGAAGGGAAGCATGGTAGGATGCAATACAGAGTTCAATAGGCTTGAGAAACCTACCTATACGTAAATATTGCCTCTAAAGTTTTGGCCATGTGGAAAGAAATTGTAGCGGAAGAAAACACCAAGCCCTAGCAAAGAGTCTCCAAAGAAGCTAGAGGTAGAAGAGGCCAGAAGTTAGCAGAAGAAACAAAGACACTAGAAAGAACACGTAGTCGCAACTGAGAATTTGCAAGAGCAACAAGGTTTTGAAGGAAAGTCAATAACAAGTACAGTGGTTGTTAAGCTCAAGGAACCAATCTACAAACGGTAAAGGTGCATGGGTTACTCTCCTGAAACCCAAGCAAGACAACAATCTTACCAAAGAAGTACAAGCCTCAGAGACAGCAAAATAGCTTGGAATGTTCAGAAAAGCAATAGAGGAGAAAGAGCCATAAAGTTAACAAGAAGGAGGGAGTTTTATACCTCTCTGCTCAGGCCAGGAAGCATGCTTAATGTGGAATTTAAGGGCCTCAATGGCCCGAATAAGCAAGAGGGTTGCAACTTCTTTGCAGGAAAGAGAATAAGACCAGTAGTTATGGTAGAGAACAAAAATAAAAAAAATAAGATTGAGCAAGTTTGACAGGCAACTTTTTGGAAGGTTGGGAGTATGTCACCAAACTTGAGCACCATTCAACAATGGAAGGATTTGGTTAACTTGGAGGCCAGATCTCTTTGCAAGCTAACTCAAATTTCAGGCAATGACAGGCTATGGCTTGCAAGGTAACAAAAATAGGAATACAACATTCGATATTTAACATGGTATATGCACATAATTCCAAAGGGATAGAAGGAGATGTCGGGCACATCTAAATGATGTTAGTAAAAGCTGCAATTGGGGACCATGAATTACCATGGGAGATTTTAATGCAGTGCTTAACAATGGATGACAGGATTGGGTGCAACACAGTCACAGTGAATTGAAGTCATGTGAATTTCAAGATTGTTTGGAGTCTTGTGGACTGTTGGGAATTGCCTCCAAAGAGAAATCGCTACCATTATGGATTGGGACATTGGGTGTTCTCTAAAGATAGATTGGTCTTCATCAATAAGTGAGTGCTTGCTCCAGTATGCCTGCTTACATAGCAAACTAACCGAGCCGGCAGTATTAGTGGACAAATCCTCCCATCAGGTGGAGAACTAACTAGCTTTTACAACATTGTGGGCAACTCACCTTAAGTTCCTGGAGGTAGTGACAGCAACTGGTGGCAAAACCTCAGAGTTAGGATGTTGCTATGCAACAAGTAGTTAGAGAGCTGAAAATCACTAAAAAGAGGATCTGAAAGAGCTCAAATAAGCAGTATTTTAGCAACACTCTAACTGAAGCTTGAGGAGGATTAGAGTAACAATTAGATCAATTTAAAACGAGCACTTGCAGGCTATCCCAGAGACAAAGGCTACAATTTCAGGAGAAAGAGGCAATATCAGACAATTTAGAAGATCATCATATTCTGCAGAAAGCTGTCTTTGCAACAGGAAGTCAAAAGCAAACATGGATCAGCTTGGAGATGATAATTCCTAAATACTTCTTCTCTGTTTATTTCAAACATAGGAGATTACAATAGTGTATTACACAAACTGAAAGATGCGCAGATGTAATACACCTGCAGAGCCAGAACAACATAGCTAGACTCTTTGTGGAATTTTTTCAAGAATTACTGGCAGCAAAGCAGCAACTACGAACCAAAGCTATTCAAGAATTTTCTCTGAGCAATGGCCAATGTGGTTAACATTCTGGGACAACAGATGGAAGGTACTTCAACCCATACTCTCGACAAGGAGGTGAAGAAGGTATGTTTATCATTGATAGCGACAAGATCCCCAGGACCAGTTGGATATGGGAGTGATTTTTTCCAAGAAGGCTTGGAGCATTGTAGGGAGAGATGTCACTACTATCGTATAAGTGTCATAAATAATGGATAGGTTATTGAACAGATCAATTCAACCAAATATCACTCTGATCCCAAAAGTACTAATCCTGAAATAGCAAAGTAATTTAGAACCAATTATCAATGTTGTAGATACCTTGTACAATGCATCTCTAAAGTCCTATGTGGTGAGATTGAAACAAGATTTGATTTCACTTGGTGGCCGAAAATAAGGCAGCCTTAGTGGCAGGTAGATCCTCTAGTAACACAATCTGCTATATCTGTCATGATCTATGGACATTACAACAGAAGAACAGTACTTAGATGTCCAACTGAAAGATGGACTTGAGAGAAACCTATGATATTGGTGAGCCTGGAATTCACTGAAAGAAGCTCTAACAGGCTATGGGTTACAGACTCTTCACTCAGTTGGTTATGGAAATGTTTACCTAAACTAATATTTTTCTGAGAAAATTAATGGACAAGGGATATGGATATTTTGGAAGGTAAAAGAGGCAATGAGCAGGGGGACCCCATGTCCGCATTTTTGTTATTGTGCTTGTAATGGAGTACTTATCAATGACACTAAAGAAGATGAGTGGAACTTCCATATTTCAAATACCATCCTATGTACAAAGCCCTGAATCTCACTCACTTAATATTTATGATCTTATGCAAAGGTGACACCAGATCAATAGCAAGGGTAATGGAAACACTACCGAGATTATAGTCGTGTCACTGGATTAGTTGGAACAATGTGAACAAATCCAATACTCTTCTTGGCCTGGACTAATAAAGCAACTCAGGCACATATCTTAGCAAGTGCAGGGTTCTTTGTAGGTAACTTTACCTATCAAGTACTTTGTCTTGCATTGTCATTAAAGAAATGGAGTAAAATGGACTACCATCAACTATTGGTAAAATCCACACCATAGGATAACTAGTGCCTACTCAGGAAAGTTGATCCTATGCAGGGAGAGTACCTTGTTAAAATGTTGTATTGGTTTCTAGATTATAATTTTTGGGGGTTTCATTTTACCTTCCAGAGTGTACTTAAAGAGTGGATCAAAAGTGTAGAATGTAATCTCCCGCGCGGGGAGGCGGTCAGAAGAACACATGAAATTGCTCTAGTTGCAATGGGAGAAAGTGTGTGTACCTAAAAATTATGGAAGGCCTCAAACATGAAAAGTTGGCAGGCTGGGGAACATTTGTTGTAGTAGAAAATTACTCTGGCAACTTGACAAAAAGGAGGGCATCTCATAGGTTAGGTTGGGGTCCTATGGAGGTATTATGAAAACTGAAAGTAATATATGCGATACCATGAACCGCTCCAGCTGACTGCAGCTGATATCGGAAGAACGCTCAACTCCTCAAAGCCTTATTGGAAATTGGTATCAGAATGGGGAGTACACACTCACTCCTAATTGGTTGCTTATTAGTGACAAAGAGCTACAAATAGTTACTAGGGAGCAGGTGAGAACGCAGGAAGCAAGATTAAAGTATGGCAACAAGATTGATGCAACCTAAGCATAGGTTTATCATCTTGCCAGCCAATTAGGATAGTGTCACGCCCCAAACCTGGGGAGGCGTGGCTGGCACCCGTGCCGTGCTGGCCCTAGCGAACCACTCTGTAACTCATGATCGTTCGACCAAACCTAGAAACATACATAGTTCGAGTTAGCTGGACTTATTCCTTTTGTAACTATCATCGGCCCACATGGCCACAACTCATAATGTACAACTGTAAGTGAGAAAACACTTGTATCATTGAACCATTTTCTTAAACAATGAATACATATGGGCCGTCAAGCTCTAACATCTATACAAAATGAACCCTTTGTCTCAAAGCCTCTATATTGACATCAAATGGGACAGGTACCGGCCCTACCCATAAGTCCGTAGCAAAATTCTGACACGATTGACTCATACACTCGGATGCACTCCGAATGAGATGGAGTCTTACCCGATCCTTCGCTGAATGCCAAATCTCGTCTACTATGAGGCTCGTCAAAACTGATTATCTATACCTGCAGCAGCATATTTTCATTCTCAGCTTCTCATCACATGAATGAGTAGCGTCCCAACAAAAGGACGTCAGTACGGATAATGTACTAGTATGTATGGCATGTAGATAAAATATTAAAGAGCATGGAAGAAACATGGAGTAAGACTCAATTTGTAAGTCTATATAACTTTGTAAATTATGAAATACTTATAGTGTCATGCATGTGTATGAATGTCATGTCGTTGCCATTCATAATATCATCAAGCCTCTAAAAATCCATCATATCATCTCGGTCACTAGGGCAAAATCATCAACGTTATACCAGCTGATCAGGGTGGTGGTGCGTATATAACCTTTCGCATAATCCCATTTATATATATATTATATATATATATATATATATATATATATATATATATATATATATACTATATATATATATATATTATAATATATCTTCATTGGTCATGGGTCAATGTGCATTGTATAAATGCATGAAATGCATATGAAATACGTTAGTAAAAATCTCTCGTACGTATCATATGACCATCATGCCTCTAATTAATATCATGAAATAAACTTTACCAACTTACGTATTTTTGAGACCCATGAACAGACGAGAGAATAATAAGACATATGGGAATCCAAGAACATAGGTATCTCTAATACTTCTATGAATAGAGTCATTTATGGAATTTGTGCATTTACTCATTTTGTTTTTATCGTACAGATCATGCCAAAAGAAAGAAGGGATAGCCTTAACATACCTGAGTCGATTTTCTTGAGAAAGATTACACCGTACTCCCTTAATATTGAAAAATCTCACTCTGAATTCATAATTAAACTAATGTACTCTTCCTTTATCGGCTTTTTATTTCATACATCCTTTTGGAGTTGTCACCTGAGACAACTAGAATCATGATAGCAACAAATAAATCATGACATTCATACCAAAAGTTTCAGATGTTTGATGGCATTATGCACTAATCTTTCCTAACTAAATCATCAAGTGAAACAAACTAAAGAGTACTCAAATTTGAAATTTTCCTGGGTTGGCTATGGCAGCCAAAATCGTCAACAGACTATTTCTAAATGAAAGTCAAATGATTAATCTTGGGGAGGGCACTCTGACTGGTTTCGTAGTTTTACTTCTTGAAAGAATTAATAGTTTGAAAGTCATGTACTGAAGATGTGTAAGAGAGAACCTATGAAAGCTTGTCAACAAAAGATGTAAAGAAAGTTTTAAAAGAATTGCAATGAAATGAAAATAAGTTGTATGAATTGTTGTGATGATCGTATATGTCCTCTATACCAAAGTTCTTACGCATATGACCGGCAGCTATGGGCATAAACCACTTTTAATCATGTCTCAATTCTATCTTTAAATAAAAAGGCCCTATGTTGAATTGATTGCCACCTAACCCATAATGACTATGAGTCATGTGGTTTGGCAGTGGTTTGCTGCCACGTGGGGGTGGGGAGGTTTTAATCTTTATCTAATTTATTAGTTAATTAGGTAATATTTCGTTATCCGGTAATTAACCAATTACCCGCATAATTAAGAATTATCCAAATTACTTAAAATATTACTCACTTTTCACACGCTTTATACACCTTACTGTCATGGTTATGCGGTACCATATAAAATAAATACATACACTATTATTTTATTAAAACATCCATGTAAAAATACATATATTTTTTCAACTTCTAATTTTCGTAATCTCATATAAAGACACAAATTTTCGTACCTTAATTCTTAAAATGGTTAAAGATAACATTCTTTTCTTGTAGAAAAAATTTCTATCTGGATCTAAAAACATAATATATATATATATATATATAATATATATATATATATATATATATAATATATATATTATATATATATATATATATATATATATATATATATATACCATTTTAATGTTTTCAAGTTTTCACTTTTTTTTTAATTTGCAACTGGAATTAGGAATTTCTATAGGATCTATAGTTTGATTAATTTGTTTTTTCATTAGAGTATCAAAGCAGTCCAACTTAGTGGCCCTTATGTTAAAGGTTTTTCTTAAGTACAAGAAAAGGAAACGTCTTGATTGTATTAAGATAAGCAATTAATTAGAGGTTCAATGTGGAAAGATGTGTCATGTGTTTCACCAATCAAAGCAGCCAAATCCTTCTCATAAACTTCCTTATATTATATGTATAATTTAAAATATATTCGAAAGTAATAATATTAATAACTATATAAAATCATATTTTTCAAACTTTTTATAGAAATATTCCACTCAATATAAATACCGTATCAAAATGTATCTAACGGTATCAAGATTGTTAAACTTTCAGGGTCTTACTGTCGCAAATCCTCTATAGAAAAGTACGAGATGTAACATCCTTCCCCCTTTTAGAAACATTCGTCCTCCACTATTAATTCTTAGGGATTTACAAAATTTTCACTAGGTCCTTCTCTGTAACTAAACTAAAACTCAATCTCTATCTGAAGTCTCGAATATTCACAACCTTTTCTACTTGAGTATCTCATATCTTCTTAACATTTAACTTACTTACCTTTCAATCTCGCATCGTATCTTCTGTTTCTTTCATAACCTCCTTCCACATTACGCATTAAAGCTCTTCTATAATACCTGAACCTCTGGTGCAGACAAAATCTCGCGACAACTTCATACTGACTTCTTACGACTCCGCTCTATGGCACGATCTGTATACAAAAGAAGGGTAACATTTCCTAAATGCCCTATTGCCTCTCAATTATAAATGTGGCGCCCAACACACCCATAAGTGAGACTCTACTAGGCACGACTTTGTAGACTTCCGTAGGATACGACCCGCTCTGATACCACTTTGTCACGCCCCAAACCTGGGGAGGCATGGGTGGCACCTAGTGCCGTGATGGCCCAAGCGAACCACTCTGTAACTCATGATCGTTCGACCAAACCTAGAACATACATAGTTCGAGTTAGCAGGACTTATTCCTTTTGTAACTATCATGGGCCCACATGGCCACAACTCATAATGTCAACTGTAATTGAAAAAACACCGTATCATTGGACCATTTTCTTAAAACATGAATAAATATGGGCCGTCAAGGCCTCTGACATACTATACAAAATGAATCTTTGTTTACAAAGCCTCTAAGATTATTTGACATCAAATGGGACAGGGTACCGACCTACCCACAAGTCCGTAGCGAAATTCTGACACGATGACTCATACACTCGGATGCACTCCGAATGAGATGGAGTCTTACCGATCCTTCGCTGAATGCCAATCTCGTATGCTATGAGGGCTCATCAAACTGATTATCTATACCTGCAGGCATGAATGCAGCGTCGCCAACAAAAGGACGTCAGTACGAATAATGTACTGAGTATGTGAGGCATGTAAATAAATATATAAAGAGCATGGAAGAAACATGGAGTAAACGACTCAATCTTTAAGTCTGGATAACTTTGTAAATTATGAAATACTTATAGTGTCATGCATATGGTACGAATGTCATGTCGTGCATAGGTACATGTGTTCATAACATCATCAAGTCTCTGAGGGCATCCCATAATATCATCTCGGCCAATGTGGGAAAAATCATCAATGTATACCAGCTGATCAAGTGGCGGTGCGTATATAACGCCATAACCTTTCCCATATCCCATATATATATATATATATATATATATATATATATATATATATATATATATATATATATATATATATATATATATATATATATATATATATCTGGTCATGGTCATGGGTCAATGTGCATGTAAAAATGCATGAAATGCATATGAAATACGTTAGTAAAATCTCTCGGTACGTCATATGACCATCATGCCTCTAATTAATATCATAAAATAAACTTTACCAACTTACGTATTTTTGAGATCCATGAACAGACGACAGAATAATAAGACATATGGGAATTCAAGAACATAGGTATCTCTAATACTTTTATGAATAGAGTCATTTATGGAAATTGTGCATTTACTCGTTTTGTTTGTATCGTATAGATCATGCCAAAAGAAAGAAGGGATAGCCTTAACATACCTGAGTCGATTTTCTTGAGAAAGATTACACCGTACTCCCTTAATATTGCAAAATCTCACTCTGAATTCATCATTAAACTAATGTACTCTTCCTTTATCGGCTATTTATTTCATACATCCTTTTGGAGTTGTCACCTGAGACAACTAGAATAATGATAGCAACAAATAAATCATGACATTCATACCAAAAGTTTCAGTTGTTTGATGGCATTATGCACTAATCTTTCCTAACTAAATCATCAAGTGAAAAAAACTAAAGAGTACTCAAATTTGAAATTTTCTTGGGTTGGCTATGGCAGCCGAAATCGTCAACAGACTATTCCTAAATGAAAGTCAAATGATTAATCTTGAGGAGGGGACTCTGACTGGTTTCGTAGATTTACTTCTTGAAAGTCATGTACTAAAGTTGTGTAAGAGAGAACCTATGAAAGCTTGTAAACCAAAGATGTAAAGAAAGTTTTAAAAGAATTGCAATGAAATGAAAATAAGTTGTCTGAATTGTTGGGATGATCGTATATGTCCTTCTCTATACCAAAGTTCTTATGCATATGACTGGCAGCTATGGACATAAACCACTTTTAATCATGTCACAATTCTATCTTTGAATAAAAAGGCCCTATGTTGAATTGATTGCCACCTAACCCATAATGACTATGAGTCATATGGTTTGGTAGTGGTTTGCTGCCACGTTGGGGGAGATTTTAATCTTTATCCAACTTATTAGTTAATTAGGTAATGTCTTGTTATCCGGTAATTAATCAATTACCGGCATAATTAAGAATTATCTCAAATTACTTAAAATATTACTCACTTTTCACACGTTTTATACACCTTACTATCATGGTCATGTGGTACCATATAAAATAAATACATACACTATTATTTTATAACACATCCATGTAAAAATACGCATATTTTCTCAACTTCTAATTTTCCTAATCTCATATAAAGAGTACAAATTTTCGTACGTTTAATTCTTAAAATCGTAAAAAGATAACCTTCTTTTCTTGTGAGAAAATAATTTCTATCTGGATCTTAAAATATATATATATATATATATATATATATATATATATATATATATATATATATATATATATATATATATATATATATATATATATACTATATATATACATGTCTCTTCAATTACCATTTTAATATTTTCAAGTTTTCACTTTTTTTAATTTGCAACTGGAATTAGGAATTTCTATAGGATCTATAGTTTGATTAATTTGTTTTTTCATTAGAGTATCAAAGCAGTACAACTTAGTGGCCCTTATGTTAAAGATTTTTCTAAAGTACAAGACAAGGAAACGTCTTGATTGTATTAAGATAAGCAATTAATTAGAGGTTCAATGTGGAAAAATGTGTCATGTGTTTCACCAATCAAAGCAGCTAAATCTTGTATAGCAAATAAAGCTGATAGCCTGTGGGTACAATGGGTTGATCACATATATTTGAAGAAGAAGGATTGGTGGCAATACAAACTGCCACAGGTTTGCAGTTGGTACTGGAGGAAAATCTGTTCCATCAAGGATCAATTTGCTGAAGGATTTGATCAGCATAAGTGGTTGGCAAACAAAGGAAAATATACAGTGAAAAGTGGCTACACATGGAAACAAGGGACAAGGGAAAGATGGGCAAGTAGCAGATGGATATGGAGTAGAAACAACATCCCAAAGCATAGCTTTATCTGCTGGTTAGCTATGCACAAGAGACTTCAGACAAGAGAAAGACTGGCCAAACTAGGGATATGCAAGGAAACACAATGTGCTATATGTGAGGCAGGAATAGAAACAACTGAGCACCTATTCTTTGAATGTGACTATTCAAGGACATGCCTGAGTGAGATACTGAAATGGCTACAAATTGGAGTGCAACAGTACAAGCTAGAAGGATTATGGAGAAGAATGACAAGAAATTCAAGAGGCAAAGCTCACAGAAACATCACCAGTTCTATCTTAGCAGCTACAATGTACCACATTTGGAAAGCAAGAAATGATGCACTGTGGAATCCCAAAGTCCAACGACCCCAGAAGCTGATAGAGACTGTGAAAGAGGAATGTAGGCTGGTCATGCCGGAAATCCTGGGAAAGAAGGCAACATCACAAAGACAAAAAGCATGGATACACAAGCTAATGTAAATAGAATAGAAATAGAAGAATAGAAAATTGATGTAATAGAATAGCTTTGAAGTAAGGAGTAGGAACTACAAGGAGAACAGTCTGTACATTTGAATTTTGGGTTGGTGATTAATAAGAATATCTCTCTTTCACCAAAAAAAAAAAATCTTTTATGCTCCCATTTTGAAGAAATCCACTTACTAATTCACTATAAGTTCTTTCACATAAAATTCCTCATATTATATGTATAATTTAAAATATATTCAAAAGTAGTAATATTAATCTATATTATTATAAAAGGGGGAAGCCCTTAGTTAAAAAGTTAAATTACTTAAATGCCCTTTTAAATATCTTAAATATTCTTTTTTATAATTTTCTTTTAAAAAACCCTCATACGAAAAGGTGCATTTTCCTTCCAAAATAGGTGTCATTTAAGAAATGACCTTGGCTCTTTAAAAATGAAACAAAGGAAAAAAATAGAAAAGGCTGAAAATTTGGAGAAAAGGATAACTGTGGGTATGTTGTATATGCCGAAGAGAGGACGTGCCACTTCACCTTCTTAATTTCTAGCTTTCATATTTTTCAAGGTTTTTCGAAACGGTACAAACATGCGGCTAAAAACCAATGATGAAGGCTAAATTCATTTGCAAGTGTGAGTATTATTCTAACCAAAGAAATAACAGTCTTGCAGATTGTGGTATTCTTTGAGGCTTAGAAGTTTTGAAAACATATTGTTTCCATACAATATGACAATGGCAAAGAGATCTAAAATTAGGATGAATAACTTTTTGAAGAAAACTAAGTCAACAAGCATGTGTGAATTTTCCTTTTCTTCTTTTCACTCCTTAATCTTTTAACTTCTTCTCTTAAAATATGGAGATAACAAAGCAAATAAATGGAGGAGTCCATCATGCATCAAATATTTTTCTTGAATCGGTAAGTTAATGCCCTCCCTATCCAATTGTGCAAATTCTTCTCTTTCTTTTTACATGTTAGTAAATTTGTATAATTATTGTTGAGCATTTTCCGTTTCGTGAAAGTAAAACTCTTATTTTCTTGTGCCTTACACACACACACACACATTATATATATATATATATATATATATATATATATATATATATATTATATATATATATTATATATATATATATTTAATATATATAGCTTAGTATCTATTACCATAATATTAAGTTTTTTTTAATAGTTTATTTCCTTGGTTTATTTTCGAGATTAAAAAAGAGAAACTATAGTAATTTATGTGGAGTATATTTTTTCATGCATTTGTTAAAGATTAAAATTATTGTTTTGTATTAAATATATTTACGAATGAAAATATACAAACTATAAAAAGTCAATATGAAAAAGTTACAAACCGTAGAAAGACATGCTCAACTTTAATTGTTTTTAAGGGTAAAGGCATGATAAAACACCTTAATTAATAGTATATAGCATATCTTTATTAGATAATTCTTACTGTAGAAGAGTTTCGGTAATTATATTTGTTTATCATTCTACAAATAAAATATACTTTATTAAAAGATAAAGTTAAGTTATTACGAAGAAAGGAATTGAATGTATAGTTTTACGAAGATGCCTATAAGTGATTGAAATTTAAAATATATGAGTGATACTCAATTAAAGAAACCATAATAAAATTTCAAAAATAAATTGATTAGCAAGCTATTATATTATAATTTAGTGAACAAATCTAAATAATATTAAAGCACTTGCTATTTTAAGTGAAAATAAAATAATAAAAGAAATATATTATGAAAGAAAAGAAATAGGCAGAGTATTTTTGTAATATATTTCTCATAAAAATATCTTTAGAAAATATAAACACTTAAAATATTTTTTTCGCATCGAACTAAGCTTAATCTAAATTTAAATAATAATTAATTATATATAGACACACACGAAAACTTAAATATTTATAAAAATTAGTTGAAAGAATAAATTCTAATATGATATTAACATGTTTTTCATATTTTCACTGTTTCTCGGACAATATTAACACAACCTCTCAAAATTAATCAATTGGAAGAAATTCGATAACAATCATAGACTATTGTCTCCATAAAAATACAATATTTAAATGCATGATTGTGTGCTTCGACAGAGAAAGGATTCTCTCCTCAAAATGTAAAAGTTAGACTTTATTTTGCAACAATGCTTTATTCTTCAATATGTTGGAAATAACTTCTTATAGATAAAAAAAAATGACAATTTGTATTTTATGTATTTTGCTTGTGACAAAGCAAAAAAGACATCTTTTAGTTAGCTGACCATTTGTGTATTTATGAATAAATACTTTTTCAAGAAAATTCATAAAAAAAAAACCTGAACAATTTTATCGATTGAGATTTAAGATTATTGAGGATATAACTGGTAGAGTTTCTTCCTTTATTAGGCTGGATAAAAAAGAACCAACAATTATCATTTTCTTGTACTTACGTACTTTTGTTTTTTACTTTATTACTCAAACAAAATTTTTAATATCATATTTATGTGATTGTTTAAAAATAAGTTCTTACTTATTGAGATAAAGTAAACTAGTAACTATATAAAATCATATTTTTCAAACTTTTTACATAAATATTTCACTCAATATAAATACCGTATCAAAATGTATCTTACGGTATCAAGGTTGTTAAACTTACGGGGTCTTACGGGATGTAACAGATAGGCTGTTAACAAATAAAAAGACTTATGAAGATGCAAATCTTAGTGGCAGATGGATCATGCAGCTTATGTTATCAAGGGGGACTAGAAACCCAGGCGCATCTTTTTACTGAATGTGCATGGTAAACAACAGTCCGAAATGGATTGTCTATATGGTTAAGAATACAGCTCCGGCAAATGGGCATTAGAGAGAGTCTCCAATGGATACAAAGAAGGAAATGGAAACAAGTTCAAAAAGAGACGGTTTCAGTAGTGTGGAGTGCTATGATATACCATACATGAAAAGCTAGGAACTGAAGAATCTTTAGGAATATAAATGTAAATACAAAGTTTACCATATCAAAGATATAGCAAGAAGCTAAGATTAGACTAGATAACATGAAGTATACAGGTAGAGCTTGTAGATGTCAATATTTGTTTTCCCGGATATGTAATAGAAGAGAACTCATGAGGCCTAGCAGATTCTAGGTGCTCTCTTGGTGTAAAATTTTGTTGTTAATGGTAATGTTCACAGTTTATTACCATAAAAAATTAACTTTGAGAGAATTATGTATGTAAATTTATTGAAGACGTCAAATGATTATTTTGTTCACAAAAAGTAAACAAAATATGAGTTTTGAGACCTTTATAGGCGAACAACACACATGATTATTTTCCATCTAAAAGTTATTACCATTAGAATGATAATTTATGTTTAGAAATATTGGAAAAAATCTATTGGCTCGGGTCCACCCAAAAAAGTTATTAATTAGCTCATTAGCTTGTCTTGCTTCTGAAGCCTACTTATAACCTATAAGTTCATCATTATGGGGTGTAGGAAAATAGTTTTTTCCTAACGTTTCTTGTGGGAAAGAAACTATAGCTAGAGTTACGAAGTTTACCACTTTGTGAGGATCCCGACGACCGTGACATATGTCATGGTTGTTGCAAATCCGTTTTCGCAAAAATAAGAAATCCATAAATCTCTAAAATTATTACTTATGGTTAAATTTTTCAAGAAATATAAAAAATTTTAAAGTCAGTACATTTGTCACCACCCCAGTTCGCCCTCCGTGAACATGTCGTGACAGCACCTAGTCCCTACGACTAGGTAAGCCTAACAATGCGGAAGATAAACCATAATTTCGGAAGAAAGTAAATAAAACAGAACTAATAAAATCAAACGGTGTTTAAGGTGCCGCTCGGCACATATCACAACAATTCTCGAAGCTAACAACATTCTCAAAACCCGGAAACTCACAAATCACAAGCTAAGGGGTACATAAGAGGCTTTGACTCAAGAATATCTATACAAAGGAAAAATACTGATAGAGCTACACTCATTACAGAAGATAGAAAGTGACTCTTCGGCCTGCGGACGTAGCAGATATACCTCGAAGTCTCGATAGAAACGCTTCCTTCCCAGGCTGACAGAACTGAACGGGAGTACCTGTATCTGCACAACAAAAATGTGCAGAAGAGTAGCATGAGCACACCATGGCGGTGCCCAGTAAGTATCAAGACTAACCTCGGTGGAGTAGTGACGAGGAACGGTCAAGGCACCTACCGATCAAATAAACAGTATAATCATAGGAATAATGGAACCGATATATAAATATGTAAAGTCTGCATAAATGACAAAAAAATGCTACAATTCACAATAAGAAAAAAGGGCAACAAGTAACAACAAGAATATAATAAATGACGATACCAAATGACGACAGAATCACAATCCAAATCCTAAGGTCACAACACAACAAGGGAAAAACAAGTCAATAACTCATGTCCTACAATGATGTTCACATAAGGTCTTATCCAACCCTTTCAACAATTTTACCAAGTTTCGGACAAACCACAACTCACGAGAACCCAGCATCTGAAATCCAACACTTGGCATCCTATGCCCCATCAATCTCACGGTCATGCTGACAACTCACTGGCTAACTAGGGCCACTCTCACGTATAAAAACAAATAAACGAAGGCGTACCTCACCCTTAGCAAAATCAGGAGGAATTCAACTCTAATAGGAGTGTTCAACTACGTGTATACTTGTGCAAGTATTTTTAACGGGAATTCTACCAACTAGTACACATGAAAAGGAGAACGGGCCGCACGTACGATGTTTTCTCACAACTTCCAAGAGGTAAAGCTCATACAGGTAAACAACCCACAATCACAATATTAAACAAATAGGAATGCCTCCATAGGCCGTCACAATTCTTTACAATCAACCCCTAACATAGCCCACCTTATTACGCCACGCGTGCAAATAATATTATAATAGGCACCGCCTTATTTCGCCACACGTGCATCACAATGTTCCTACCTTATTCCGCCACATGCGCAACTCACATAT